TGTTTCTAAAGTTAAAAGTTATCAAACCACAAAAGCTAGCTTAACATGCATGGTGAGCTCCGGCAGGGTATTATAGTAAATTCACGGACGAGCCGTGATTTCCTATTTAACCGGCCAATCCCTCGCACAAAGAACAACAACAACAAAAAAAACATTACTTCTTATTACTCCGTATCATTATAGTCGAATTCAGTTCCCTCTCGCTCCCAACATGAAGAACAACACTCCCGCCGCCGCCGCAGCAGCATCCCCCCTTGTTATAATCATCACCACCGTTGTGATGGCGACACTTGCCGCGGAAGCCGCCGCAGCCGGAGACAAGGAGCGGGCTGATGCTTTGAAAGCAATCAATGACGCACTATCCGCAACCAATTCCGCACTGAAAGCCATCACCCCCCTGAAAGGCACCGCAAAGGCCCTAGCTGATTGCGCCGACACCCTCGGCGACGCCGTAACGCGCATGTCCGCCTCGAGCGGGAAGCTGCGCGTGAAGAGCGACGCCCAGACGTGGATGAGCGCCGCCGTGACGGACTTCACCACTTGTAATGACGGATTAAAGGGCGCGAATGTTAGTAGCGCCGTTTCCAGATGGATCGCGACGGCTTCCAGTAAGACCAGCAATGCGCTCGCTATGGTCGCTAAGTTACCCTAATTAACGGAGTGTAATGACAACAACAATAAAGCCATCCAAAGACTGCTTTCATGCTCGTTGATGGGGCATTCTATGCGTTTTTTTTTTTGGCCAAGTTTATTTATTTGCAATGGTGGGCGTGATTATAAGCCCCTTTTCTTGGTTCTTGTAGCTATTCTTACCGAGATCGTAAAAAGAGAGTCGGACAGCATAAAGTCGGTGATTTGTGGATCGCTTGGAATAAACTAGTCCTTCTCTTCGGGAATGTTTTTCACATTTGATTTTTCACGATCTCCAGTGTTGTACTTTGATCATCCATATCGATCTATACTTATACATTGATATATTTTATAAAAATTTGATATTTCATAACTACATTGATATTAAATTTATATCATAATATATATGGAGTACACTATTTTTTTCCCATAAATCAGAGTCAAAACTTACAAATTTTGACCAAGAAAAATCAAATGTGAAGAATATTCTAGGTTTTCCGGTTCATTAAATTCTTGTGTGCCACTTCTTGATTGGCTTGGGATTAGTATGAAAAAAATGGGGGAATGGGTGTAAAGATGTATAACGTGAAGTGATTAAAAAAACATGTCTGATGGTAAGTCTAAAAGGAAGTGATGACAAGTGGGGAGGGTATAAATTAATATGATTGGTTAAAAATTATATAGTTAAAAAATAAAACAAAACCCCCATTCACGCGGTGATGGCCGTCACCCCCTGTCGGGCTCGGTCAACCCCGCCACGTCAGTCACGCCCCCATACCCCGAAAGTGAGTGTAATACCCTAACCCGCGTTACCCAAATAAAGAAAGTACACACGACACACAAATTGTTTATGCAGTTCTGCGAGGCCCCCGTTAGTGTAAAAGCCTTCCCACTATACCATAATAGAGTTTACACTCTCCACAACTAGAGACTCGATCTAAGTATTGATCTAAACTCTAACTGAAAGATAATGCATCAAACTCGGTTTGTGCACACACATGAAGAACTGTTACATTCATCAACTTATCTGAGACGTGTCAGCGGCCTACGCTCCAGAATAACTCATATCAACTTCTGAAACGCTGCTTGAATCTTCAATAGCTCTGTTTGTTTTAATAAACCTTATGTGGCAATTTTGACTACAAGTTGTCTGATGGGGTCTTAGCTTGGTGCCTTGGCGTTGAAGAAGCAGTTCCCTTCTTGCCCTTCCAATGCATTGGATATTCTTGCGTCGGAAGTCCATCCTCATTCAACATATGTTCATCACCTTCCACAAACCAAAACCAAAATTAAATCACACAAATATTTATATAGTAATAATTAATAATGATAACAATTAAAGGGTATTGCTAAATTCATTCCAAAAAGGGTTATATCCACACTTTTTTATTATTGTATTAGAGTAACAATTTAATCAAATCATTTTGCAACAGACAACAAATAGCTTAATGAAACTGTTGGAGAAGGTTTCAAAGAAAATTATGTACTCCCTATGTATTTGTAAAAACAGTTCTTATTGACTTGTGTGTGTTGAAATATTGGAATAATAATATTGCTCCTTTAATTATGGAATACATGATAGAGTATATATATGAGAGATTTCTAACATAACTAGGAATAGAGAATGGAAACTAACTAACATACAACATCTACTACAAATAGGATTAGGAAGCTGACTAATAATGAAACACTACCATAACCAATACTACCAGAAGTAATATTAGTTTTATTGTCTAACATCCCCCCTCAAGCTGAAATCTGGCTGAAGCAAGAGAAAGCTTGGACACTAGCTGGAAACTGGAAACTTTAAGAAGAGAGAAGTTTGACATACGTCGGTGGCTGCTCACGTCGTTGGAGAAGAGACAAGTCTGACGTGCGCCGGTGGCTGCTGGCATCGTTGGAGGAGAGAGAAGTATGACGTGCACTGGTAGCTACTAACGTCGTTGGAGAAGAGAGAAATTGACGTGCGTTGGTAGCTGCTGACGTCGATGAAGAAGAAAGAAGATTGACGTGGGTTGGTAGCTGCTGGCGTCGAAGAAGAGGAGAGAAGGTTGACGTGCGCTTATAGCTGCTGACGTCGAAGAAGAATAGAGAAGGCTACTGGAGGTGTCTGTTTGACTGAAGATCCTTGACATTCTTTGTCTTTTTTTCTTGGATCCAGGCAATGCCCTATTTCTTTCTTGAAGGATTGTAGAGGTATTCTTTCTCTTTCACTACTTCCTCTCTTGGCTTTGCTTTTGTGTTGTTTTTTTTGGAATATTTTGGGTAACAAAAGAAAAAGAGAAGAAAGATTGATGATTAGAATGAGTGATTTGAGAGAAAAAAAAAGTGGATTAAGAATTGGTGAAGGAATAAAGATTTGGGGTTTGAGATTTTGATATGGTGAATTGGAGAGCAACTATCATTTTTTTTCTTTTTTTGAGAAGATAGGATTAGTTGAGAGAGTTTGTGAGTTGAGTTTTTTTTTTTGAAGAACCATGGAGATGACAAGAGAGAAGTTCTGCCTTTGATGGTTTTTTTTGTATGATTTCAACAAGGTTGTTTTCCTTTTTTTTTTCGTTTGAATGGAGACGTTAATTTGACGATAAAAGAAGGAAAAGAAAATAGAGGTGAATAGGGTGGAGCCGCCGTCGCCGGAATTACCGGCGGCGGCGGTGGGAGCAAAGAACTCTTTTAGGTCACCAAGAGCGGTGGCTCCGATACCATGTTGAAATATTGGAATAATAATATTGCTCCTTTAATTATGGAATACATGATAGAGTATATATATGAGAGATTCCTAACACAACTAGGAATAGAGAATGGAAACTAACTAACATACAACATCTACTACAAATAGGATTAGGAAGCTGACTAATAATGAAACACTACCATAACCAATACTACCAGAAGTAATATTAGTTTTATTGTCTAACATAAAAAAGTGGATCAACCTCCCTTCTCTTTCTCTTCTATTGAACCAATAAAAATCCAAAGTAAATCAACACAAAAGCAATGTCAAGAGGGGAAGTAGTGAAAGAGGAAATAAGACCTCTACAACTCGCTCCGATACCATGTTGAAATATTGAAATAATAATATTGCTCCTTTAATTATGGAATACATGATAGAGTATATATATGAGAGATTTCTAACACAACTAGGAATAGAGAATGGAAACTAACTAACATACAACATCTACTACAAATAGAATTAGGAAGCTGACTAATAATGAAACACTACCATAACTAATACTACCAGAAGTAATATTAGTTTTATTGTCTAACAGTGTGAGATTTATTTTTTTAATTTGACATTCCAATTATGACCTTAACATAAAAAAAAGAGAGAGCCTGCAGAAATTGTTTCAAAGAATGAAAGGAGTGTAATGCAGATTCATATATACATCGACGTAATGCATCGAATTAAAAAAAGGCTATGTTCTATCATTAGCCTTTCTGGTTATTGGATCATGCACACTAAATCTTTCAACTTTGAAAATTCTATGAATAATTTTCAAGCGACGTTAGCGTTGAAAGGTTGGTCTTTTAAATATTATGTTAGTTCAAATTATTTTTTTATTTTTATTATAAATACATGCGAGGAACCTTCTTTTTTTCACACAAAGTCATACTTCTTATATATTCAAATTTTGACTCCAAAGTCAAAATCAACTTGTGGGGTGCAATTGAAGGGGGTGAGGGGGTGCGTTCGGGTCGGGGCGGGGCGGGGGGGTAGGAACCGTCAATTTTACGAACGGGGCACCGGAGCGTCCCCGGGTCATCCCATGACATTGGTTCCCAATGTCATGGGAACCTTGCCCTTTCAATAATGCTTATTTCAATACTTGAAAATGCTTATTTAGTAACGAAAGCCTACCATAGACATTATAGGTGCATGTAATAATTTGCCTTAAAAAAGGACAAACACGAGCTAAAGTAATTTATTACTACCTCCGTCCCAAAAAGATTGTCATTGTTAGTTTCTTGGTCTCTCGATAACTTTTGTTTATTTACTCAGTTTCGGTGATCATTTGATAAAATAAAATATTTATTTCACATTTTTTCTATATAACTTTTGATATACTTTTGAACCATGCAATTTAAATTTTTTATTTTAATACCAGATTATGAATAATAAAATAATTTTAAAAGAGATGACATTTTGTATGTCGTTGTTCAAAATTTGGTAAATATTTTGAGATAGAGGGAGTATATATTATATAAAAAATTGGAGTAATAAAAGTAATTAAGAGTAACTTAAAGAACTAACTCAACCAAAAGCTCCAGCTTGTGGCTGTGGCACATAAGATGTTTTTTTTATTCGAACATTCCCCCCTCACTTACAGGCTTAGTCTTTTTTTTGAACTGAAAGTAAAAAAACTCGGTGTAATCTTTTTTTTTAAACTTGTTGGGACTGAATTTCGAACTCGTGACCCTTTTACGAGTAGTAAACAAGATTCCAATACAATCTTAAACCAACTCGATCAAAAGCTCAAACTTGTGCATGGTTGTCGTCTAGGAATTTTTTTTTTATATTCTTACAATTTTTTACTCCCTCCGTCTCGTGAAACATTTCTCCTTTCTTTTTTTATCCGTCCCACAAAACACTTCTCATTTCTATTAAAAAGTCACTTTTACCTCTTACTTTATCATACCCTAACTATCACATCATACCTTTTTACTAATAATCTATCTATCAGATCATATTTTTACTCATCACATCAAAGGACATGTTTCACGGGACGGAGGGAGTATTAAAAGTGGACCTATATGGCTATATCTAATATGGTTCAAGTGTATGAAGAAGAAAGCTAAGAGTTCCTCAGTCCTCACACTAATTAAAGAAAATGCAGGGACGAATGACTTTATATAATGAAGAACGCAATACATATTCAATGTTAACGGTACCACAGAATTTGTAATTTCCTTTAACACAACTCGTATACAGTAATTTCGTAATTATTTCGATCATCACATCGTGAAAGGGAAATACGAATATTTTTTCTTTAAAAAAAAAACAAAATTAGAGAAGCAATTTAATGTCGTTGGCTATGCATTGAGAATCAAAAGAAATTCCATGCAATCCTCTCCGGGCCAGCCCCGCGCAGTACAGCCCATTCTTGCCCTTCCAATGCATTGGATATTCTTCCTTCGGAAGCCCATCCTCATTCAACATATGCTCACCACCCTCCACAAACCAAAACCAAAATTGAATCACACATACATTTAATAATAATAATAACTAAATGATACAAATTAATAATTGGAATAATCCTGTTAGATAGTATTTTAAAAATATTTAAGTTAAATATCGAGGGCCCGTTTGGTGAGCGCATAAGATAAGATTTCCATATCATTTCTTCTAAATTTCAAAATTCATATCATATCTTCAAAAGTCACTATATAGGCCTGAAATTGTTGCAAATTAAAGAGACATGAGTAATGAGAGGATAGAGGCTTGTGCTAGCTACTTGTACACTAATGTGTTAATGGCGTACACAAATAATTATTATCTATACATATTTGTAACACAGTAGTATGGTATACACCAAACTACTCCCTCTTCCGTCCCATTTAAATCTTTTCGGCCCGCTTTACGACGTTTGATCAACTTTATTTTCTATTTAATTTATTTGATTGTAGGTATAAAAATTTAAAAATTAAAAAACTACGTCAAAATATGTACAAAATGTTTACCTGAAGCCAAGAGTGAGTGGATCTTTTGAAGCCAGTTGCGAAGACAATAGCGTCAAATGGGAGAGAAGTGCCATTCTCAAACGCCACATCGCAGCCGTCCATCTTCACCACACCTGGTAACACCTGTCCAAAAAAAAAAAGAAAAGTCAAAACAAACATTCACGCCACGTGCCCTGCATCCCCAAATAAAAACAAAGGTTTTACTTCCCCAAATAAGGAGTAATAAATACGGGGTAACTAAATAAACATTGATATCTCCGTCCCAAAATATATTATTGTATTTTTCCGCAAAACAAAACAGAACATGTTTTACGTTATAAAATACTCTGTAGTCAATTAAGATGCACGAATAAACAAAAATATCTGTAATTTTTTAATAGTAAAATATGAGACCCTTTTTTGAACGAATGAGTATATGATAAATTAATTATATAAAATACTCCTTACATTCCTAAAATACTCTTCCTCTATTGACTTTTACCCCGTGTTTGAATACGTTTTTAGGAAAGAAAGAAAATAAGGGTGGAAAATTTAGAATGAGAAAATAAAAATTTTTTCCTTCTCTTGTGTTGGATGTTTAGGCTGGAAGAAAAATAAATCTATTTTACGGTTTTTACCTCCTAATTTATATAGTAATGTAAAACTTTAAAGTACTATTTAAACTTTCCTCCCATTTTAGGAGGATACGGAAAACAAATGGATGGTAGACTTTCCATTCTCCCTTATTTTTCATTCACCTTCCCAAACACATTATATATATCCACTCACCCCTTTATTTTTCCTCTTTTATTTTCTTTTCATCCTTATTTTCCTTCTTCCAAACAAAAGGTTAAAGAATTTAAATGAATGATAATTTGGTGTTGGCTTTCGAAATTAAAATATCCTTGATATGTAAAAGTAGAATTTGTTAGCATGTGTGTGTGTATATATATATATAATATTAATTAGTGAATACTTACGATGTGATTGATAAGATAAAAATTAGTAAGGGAAAATGTGAAATTCTAAAAACAATTTGAAAAGTTTTTTTTGAGACCGATGAAAAGTGAAAGATGAAATATTTTTTTGAGACCGGTAAAAACAATTTTTATTTGTTACTCTTTATTGTTTTACTTATTTTTATTACTCGTCTAATAAAACAAAATAGCCATAACAACGTACCACATTCATCTCCAAGTGGATCCATCTCTGCTAGGCCCACACGGGATAGATATGAGACTTGGAATGTTCAAAGTTTAATTTCCTTTAATGAGTTGCAACTTGCAAATGTCTTCTCATTAATTTGTTGTGTAGGACACCCCCCACCCCCACCCCCACCCCCCAAAGACTAATCAACAAAGAAAGACTATATATATGGGCGTGTAATATTAGCATTTTGAAAAAGATATCTATGGGCAACATTTAACGTTAACGTCTTTAAAGTAAATATGTACCGTTAAAATTTAATCCAAAACGCTAACACTAATAAAAAAAATACTATTCACAAACAGACCCTATATGTACATATACCTGAATCTCGCCGGAGACGACCTTGGCATGGGTTCCGACGTCGAAGACGGGGTACTTTCCGTTCTTCACCTTGCCGGAAAACGGGCCGTCCCGGGGCAATTTGACCCCGTAGTATTTGGTGATATCCCCGAAGACGAGTTTGCTAAGCATGAGTAGGACTGAGTCGACCAGCCAACACGGCACGTGATACTTCAACATCGTCAAGGCCAAGTGCCCCATCCCTTTACTTATAATGTGAAACTGCATGTTTGTCCCCAAACACAAATAATTTATAATCATATGAATAGAAGTAGTAATTGAGCTTGAATTTTCGTGCAAGTTATGTCATGTTTCAAATTAAATACTCCCTCCGTCCCATAAAACATTTCCTATTTCAAAAAAGGCGCGCTCTTAAAATGAGTAATTTTGGTGTTATTTTCTAATTTTGCCCTTACTTTATAAAAAAGTAGGATGAGATGTGTAGAATAGATTAGTCATAATTAAAAAATAATACTAAAATTACTCATAAAGACGTGCCATTTTTGAAACAGAAAATGTTTTATGAGACGGAGGGAGTATGATTTTCATCAGTCCAAAATTTTTCTAATTCTCAATTAACCCAATTACAAGATTCACACCTCTTCCATGCCATTTACAAATTCAAGCCAACTTTTATTAAATTTATAACTTAATTATAATTAAAGACTGATTTCTTCTTATACAACAAAAATTCCATGCACACCAATCAGATTCTAGAGTTAAAATTATAACTTTCCGAACAATATTTGAGATTTAAAACGATGAAATTTGGAATATTAAAATTAAAATATAAGATTTCAAATAAATTCTAATTTTCAAACACTACCACAAAAAATCATACGCGTACTCTATTTTTTAGTACTTTTGTTTTTTTGGGGCTTTGCAAGTTATATTGGACCAAGTCGGTCGATCATCCATTATAGTGGAGTATAAAAATGCTTTGCATATAACTTCATAAAAATAGATTTATTATATTTATCGTGCAAAAAGAGACTTTCATTACATTATTTAGCCCCCGTTTGGCATCAGCGTTAGAGACTAGCATTAGCATCTTGTAAAGGCTATCTGACGGTAGCCTTTAACGTTAGCGTTTTCTAAATTAATCTACACTGTTAATATTTTATCCAAAATGCTAACGCTAATCGAAAACGCTTTTTCCAAACAAGGCCTTAATCCCATGTATTGATTTGTGTTACAATAAATGAATAAAATTAATTTAATATGGAATAAAATGCTCTGTGAAATTTTTAAACTAGACAAAAATTGTAAGATATTAAAAACAAATGGACAAAAATATGATGATGAAATGATTGCCTTGATAAGTACAAGGTCAACCTCATCTAATAACTTTATTTTTGTGATGAAAAAGTGGATACTACTTCCTCAAATACTTTCGTGTATGACTTGTATTCAAGAAAAATATACTCCTTCCGTCCCTAAATAAACTTACTCTTTCATTTTTTCTTTGTCTCCAAATAAAGTTCTCTTTTTCCTTAAAAAACCCCTTTTACCCCTTACTTTTTCATATCCTACCTATCACATCATACTTTTTTTTACTAATAATCTACATATCACATCTTACTTTTACACATCACATCAAGGGTATTTTTGGAAAATTAACACAAAAATATCACTCCCTTAAATTCTCAAAAAATCAAAAACAGAAGTTTATTTAGGGACGGAGGGAGTAATTTTTTTGAATTGAACTTTGTTATTATATGTTAAAGCTAGAATATAATGTGATGAATTTACCAATATAGAAAAAATGAATAAATATGATGTGTAGATCATGAAAGTTAATGTCCTTTTAATTTTTTTAATTTTAAAACTATACTCCATCCCGTTTTAAAAACTTTTTCTGTTTTAATTTTTGGCCAAATAGTAATACATTTTGACTAAAAATTGTGAGAAAAGTATATTTAATTATAATACGGCGTATAAATTGAATATAATTAAATTTATCTTAAGATATAGTTTTGATATATCAAATTTTTATACCTCAATATCATTTATTTGTTTAAATTTTTATATCATTTATTTTTTTAAATTATTTTTAATATGTAGCGACTAAAAATTAACCAATTTGACTCCTAAAAGTCAAAATCTTTTATGAGAGTCTATGTAGTTACCGGGCTCCGGACAACAATGGAGGTCTTGGCACCGTAGTTGGAAAGATCAAAGGCAATTTCCATGCCGGAATTCCCACTTCCGACCACCAACACTCTCTTGTCCCGATACTTCTCGCCGTTCTTGTACGCCGTCGAGTGGATGATTTCCCCGGCGAATCTCTCCATCCCCTTTACCTCGGGGATAAAGGGGATGCTGGTTTCGCCGGTGGCCACCACAAGAAACCTGCCGGAATATTCCTCCCCCTCGCCGGAGTCCGGGTCTCTCGCCGTCACATTCCACATCCCGGCACCCTCGTCGTACGCGGCAGCCTCCACCGCCCTGCTACAACGAGGGCTGATTCCGAAACGGGAGACGTACTCCTCCAAGTAGTGGACGAACTGTTTCCTCGGAACGTAGACCGGAGCATTCGCCGGAAAGCGGAGGTGCGGCAGCTCGCAGAAGTGTTTGGGGAGGTGGAGGCGGAGGCGGTCGTAGGAGTATTTATTCCAGATGGAAGCGTAGCAGTCTTCTTTTTCCAGAATAATGTAAGGGATGGAGAGTTTAGTTAGGCAGGCGGCCGTGGCCAGCCCCGCCGGACCGGCGCCGACAACGATCACCGCCGTTTCTTCTTTCTTTGACGCCATTTCAATATCTATTTCTCCTTTAATTTTACTCGGTAATTTTTAAATGAGTCGAGACAGATCCGGTTGAGGTGGTCCTATATATAGCCGCGTGTTCCTCAACTCGAGGTGGCAAAATAACTCTATTACTGCTTAGGATGTTTGGGAGTGATTAGCTTATGGATAAAGTGATTTCTACAAAAGCTGAAAGCAAAAGTAACTCATACCTGCTTCTCCGAAACGGTGTTCCATGTACAAAATAATGTTGGTGAAAAGCAGAAGCTGACATGCCAAACAGAGTAAAATCACTTTCACTCAAAGCAGAAGCTAAATTATTAAAAGCATCACACTGCCAAACACCCTCTTAAATTGGTAAAATTATTTCAGTTTTTTCTATAGTTTAAAATAATAGAAATCAATATTCTGGTGGTCAAAAATTATTTTTAAGATCTTATGATTTCAAAATGTTACACACACATTTGTCAAACTATGTTATCAGTTCACTTTTCTGACGAAGAAACACCTAGCGGTGCGCATGTGAGACGTCGCCTTCGCATTTAATGTTCCATACGAATATCGCTGAAGGTAAGTAAGCCTTCAACGATATTAATTGAAAACACAAAATTATTACTCCGACGAGACATTAGTGAAGGTAGGTACAACATAAAATTATTATCTAAATTATTACTCCGTATTCTGTAATATTAATTGAAAACGTCTTCATGAAATAAGACATTAGTGACAATATTAAAATGTTTACAAATTTTTTGGTAGACTTAAGGTCTACTATGAACTTATATATTAACATATAAGTACAATAAGTATTTTCTTACTGCTTAAATAAGCATATGTTTTTTTAATAAAAAAATAAAAAAATAAATTTTTTATACAAGAAGACCACAAAATTATATGCACCCAATGTGCATCAAAGAAGCACCGTAAAATGTTATCTACAATTTTATTTTAAGTTTTTCATCGACAAGCTTAAAAACACCTGCATGTAGGGGTGGACACGGTACGGTTCCGGGACGGTTCCGGTTCCGGAACCGCCGGTTCCGGTACCGCCACCCCTTGGTACCGGTACCGGTACCGGTTCCGGTTCCGGTACCGCCGGTTCCGGTACCGTTTCGGCCACCCCTAATTTTGTTTTTTTTTTTTTTGCTTTTTTATTATATTTTTAAAATATAAAATTGTAAATGTGTAATTGTTAAAGGAAATGATGAAATAAAAAAATCTAAAAATGAAATTGATAAAGGAAAGAATGAAATAAAAAAAATAAAAAAAAACGGTAACGGTACCGGAACCGGAACCGCCGGTGCCGGTACCGAAAAATGGGCACCGGAACCGGTGGACCGTACCGGCCGACGGTAACGGTACCGGAACCGGCGGTACCGTTTCCGGTACCGGTACTGTACCGGTACCGTGTCCACCCCTACCTGCATGCTCTTTAAATGGCCATCTGCAGATTTGCGTGGTTAAATCAGCCATCAGAGCCTATACTTGAAGAAACCAATTGGCATTTGGCAAAGCAATGAGTGGCGATGCTAAGACCCAAATTTAATTTCTGACAACTACAATGGTAGGTAACTATGTAAAACATAAAACCTTTGTAAATATCAAGTGCAATCTCCACTCTTTACCACATGTCTGCAATAAAAATCTAATTTATCACCCATGTGCCATCACCATTCGGAAATTGCATGATTTATGCCTAAATATTTAATAGAAATCATCCTAAATAGGACTAAAACTTAGAGAAAAGTACCAAAATAGGACTTTCATGTTTTTTTCCCGGATTAGGACTTTACACTGTGGTAATGTGACTTTGCATTATGGTAATGTGGCAGTGTACATGTGCAAATTACTATACTTTTTTGGTAATGTATATGACCATGTTTGGTAATGTAAGTCCTATTTCGGGAATACAAACATGGAAATCCTATTTTGGTATATTTTCAATTTTTTAGTCCTAGTTTGGTCTTTCTCCCAAGATTTAAAAGTTCACTAAATACTCCTGAATTCTTCAAAAAATTGCACGGTTTAGCTTTGAACATTAAAAAGTGCACCAAATACCCATGAACTCTTCGAAATTTGCACGGTTTACTTCTGAACATTTAAATAACGATGATAATTTTGGAGAAGTGTACTTGAGAAAATTCACAAGGGCCTTATGAATCATACTTGCAATTCCCGTGCGCAGGAGTAACACACTCCATATTTAGAATTTAAGGACTAACAGTGCAATGTTTTAAATTGTTCAGGGGTATTTGGTGCACCTTTTAATGTCAAGAAGTAAATCGTGCAGTTTTCAAAGATTTCGAGGGTAAACGTTACACTTTTTAATGTTTACGATTAAACCATGCAAATTCTTAAAGAGTTCGGAGGTAAACGTTGTACTTTTCTCCAAAAAAAATGTAGGCCTTAAATTGTGAAATAGGTAGAGTTTGGTACAAACTCAACATTTAATTTTAGCATTTTAAAAGTTCAATTATTTAATGATAATATTTAATTTTAGTGTTCTCCAAATTAATTTACAACCTAAAAAAAATATATCAAGTGTTAATGTTAATTGAAAATACCATTCTCAAACAAGGCACATGGGTGGTCCGGAGGGTGTGCAAAATGACCAACCGCACAGTACTCCTAAAATTTTAGAATCCCAAATTTTTAAATTCATTATTAATTTTAAAACATAAATATCCTAAAATAATAAAATGGGCGCAAAATGTATATTTTGGACCGGATCAATTTCATTATTTCATTATTCACGGCCAGCCCTGACAAAGCATTAGTGACCCCCAAATGAAAATTGTTGACACTTACCCTCGGTAAGTTTTACTCCCCCTTTTAAAAAGATTGCTACATTTCCTTTTTCATTTATCACATAAATTTTTGTTTATCTGTATGCTTTCATTGATTATTTGATAAAATAAAATATTTTGGACACTTTTTATTTTAAAGAAATTTTTATTTAATTTTTAAATATATAAAAAAAGTGATTGTGAAAGGTGATAACAGTGAGGACACTTTTTCATTGAAAAAGTTGACAGTTGTGGTGTGGAGAGACTCCATCACTCCAGTAGTTATTTTAGACGGTAAAATCACTCGACAATCGTCATTTAGAAGTGTCTAGACTTACATTTGTCTCATTTTCTTACCTCTATTTCTAGTGCAAACAAGTCATCTATAATTAAATTTTATATATATATATATATATATATATTACATTTTAATTAAATAGAATAATATTTTGAAAATATTTTTGATATAATAAATTAAATAAAACCTTATTGTATCAATATCTAATTTTATTTTTATTTATTTTAGGGTCAAAATTTACCAATTTCGAATGAAAAATCAAATATAGACAAATACTTCAGAACGGAAGAAGTATAAAATATGGAATACCAATTAAAAAATGCACTTATTTGTACGTAAATGTACAATGAAAATAATAATATGCAAATAAAAATTAATTTTAAATAGCATTACAAAAGAAATTTTAATATTAATAAAATTAAATAGAAACTAAAAGGTAATAAAATTAAGAAGTGTTAAAAATTAAATCATGGAAAATATCATTAAAAAATAACGATAGAATTAAAACTTAGAGTCTTAGAGCATCTCCAATGGAGATGCTAAAAATGGGCAGCCATAAACATATTTTAGAATATGTATAGTGATTTGGATGTTCTTATTTTGGTATGTGCTCCAACCATAGCTGCCACTCTCCCTCTTCCATATAAATTTAATATGTTTTACTTTTTTATTTCTTTGCTTTGTGTGGATGTTAGCATTTCTCTCTCCTCTCAATTGGTTACCGTATTTAATTTTATTAATATTTTATTATAGCTGATAACTTTTGATCATTTATATATAGCATGTGTAAAGTGAAAAATAAATACTTCTCTATTTTTTGAAGGTCCCGTTGGAGCCCATTATTAAGAATAGTGAAGTCTAAAATTTCTACTCCCTCTGTCCTATAATGATCTTCCCAGAGCACTATTCTAACTTCACAGGAATTTATATTTATTTGTGTTTTTTCATGCCTTATATGATAAAATAAAATATTCTTGTCACCACTTGTTTTGTTGAACTTTTGGTGTAGTTTTTAAATATGTATGTTTTATTTTTTATTTCTATACCAATATTTAAATAAAATAGATTGAAAAAATTTGGGATTTTTTTCGTTTTGCAAACCGTGAAGATCATTATAGGACGGAGGGAGTATTTTTTAAACTATGAAGGCTCCATTGGAGATGCTCTTAAACAGATAAATATTAGCTACGGGATGGTGGGGTATTGCCCCCTCACCCGTGAGTCCTGTTCATCCCAGCTCATGTTTTATTTTTCTTTTTCTTCTTCACCCTTAGAGCATGCGCAGCGGCGAGGCATTTCCTCGCTCGCTGCACCACATTAGCTTCCTCGACACTTTTGCCTTGCGTGGCTTCAGCCTCCTTCCACGCAAGCGTGTGAAACGCGAGGCATCTTCAATTTTTTTTATTTTTTTTATTTTTTTATTTTTTAGAAGAAATAATTTTTTTTAAAAAAAGAGTACATCTATATAAAAAAAGATAAATGAAATAATTTTTAATAATTAAAATGCATTAAAAAATCATAAAAATTGACAAAAACAATGACTTGCCACTGTACGAGATGCCTCTCCACTCACTTGCCACACGCTGACTGGATTGTCTTTTATTGGTTGAAATGTGTCACGTCAACGTGTGACATTCCATTTCGTTACTTGCCATTGCCCGTGCTCTTAAGTTTTTTGCTAGTAATGTGTAAATTTAAAAATAAAAATTGCAGGATTAATACTCTATTCATTTCTAAAAAATTGCCACAGTTTATTTGACTTTTTTTGTCAAACTGTGGCATATTTTGATTAGAAATTAAATATAGTATAAAACAATTAAATATTATAAAAATTAGATATTTTAAAACTTTATTTTAAAATAAACCCAAATTCACTAAAATTTATATTATTACTAAATATACTTTTCCCATAATTTGCAGTTAAATGGTGCTACAGCTTGAACAAAAAAATCAAATTTTAGCAATCGTTTAAGATTGGAGGGAGTATTAATGTTTAAAAGTACAGAAAAATAAGAATATCATTAATGAGTGTATCTCAGGCAAACATTACAAATGAAAAATCAAAACAAATTGAGTATAATTATTTTGATGAAAAATATGACATTTTAAAATAAACTACCCACCCATATTTATTTCTACTCGTTTCATTTTTTTCTAAATTAATTTCTTCCAACTCTTTTTAATTTTCTTTCAGATTATTTCAACACGTTCTACTTTATTTCAACCTCTTCAAAAAAATAAAACCAAAATATCAATATTAGTTGAAAATGTGGTACTCAAACAACAAGGTATTAGTGGACAACCATATTATTGGTGACACTTACCTCGGGTAATTGGAGTAAAAGTAAATGTGAAAGGTAAAACATTGTGGACACTTTTTAATTGAAAACGTCCACACTTTTTTCACTTTTTTTCTAACCTATTTCCACTTGGAAAATCCTTTAATTTGTTTCTTCCTCTAACATCTATTTCCAATGCAAACATTGACATTTTGAATGTCCTTAGCTAAAATTAAATATATGAATTTATTTATACATACATTTTTAAATAAAAATAAAATTATATAAATAAACTTAAAATAAAAATAGCATTTATTTTTTTAAAAATGAATGTTAAATTATAATTAAATACAAAAGGTAAGAAAAATAGAGTTAAAAATTAGATCATGAAAAATAACGTTAAGGAATAACGATAAAATTAAAAATTAAGCAGATAAATTAAATAAATTTAACAAAAATAAAAGATAAAATTAAAGCAAGACATGAAAATCACGTCCAAGCGAATTTTTTATAAGCAAGACACAAAAAAACATCACAAATTTACCTAAAGCAAATTACCCTTTTTTCACTTTGAAGATTTTTTACTTGTTGCTTTAATTTTATCTTATTTATTTTGGTGTAAATTATCAAAATAGTACTCAATAGACATGTTTTCTCAAGTGAGTTCTAAAAATGCATGAAGTAATTATCGAGATAATAGTCGTTAATTGAATATAATATAATGTTCAATTTAATTTCCTGAATAATGACTAACAAAATAATGCTAAAACAACATTAAAACGTATACGAATTTCTTATCCAATTGGGTGGGTGTTTTCTCACACGGGTCCTTTTTCAAAGTAAAAACTTATTACATATGGAAAAATGGTTTTACATTATATGCGATGAGAATATAATTAAAAAAAACTATAGATATAATTTTAAAATTTTGAAAGTAAACATTTTAAAATGTATACAATTATTTAGAAGAATACTATTTAAATACAATATTTTACAAACGTTATTTCTTTGCCTTCCCATCTTTGAAATAAGAAGCTATTTTCAAAAAATTATAACTAAAAATTGGTCTAGTTCTAAAAAAATATAAAGAAAAAGAGAAAAAAGACAGCAATAAAGCGCTGGAAAAAACGAGAGGAAAACCCGTCTTTCCCGTTCCCGCTAGGGGGGGGGGGGGGTTCCANCCACGGTGCCACGTACGCATCCCGCACGCGGGACCATACCTAAATATGGCCCGAGGTCTATAGGATAGAAGGACCATATATAGTACAACTGTACACGCAATTGTTATTAGAAATATTTACACTAAATAACACTAAAACTTAAGTCATTTCTCTAAATAGCACTTAGATTGTTTTCTTTCTTAAATACGGAGTAACACTTTATAATGTCCATAATGACCAGTGATGGCAAACATTACTTGAATAATGACTAATGAATAATGACTAAAAGTGCTACATTGAGGAAAAAAACATATGTAGTACTATTTAGGGAAAGTCACTATGTTTTAGTGCTATTTACGTAAATTTCTCTTGTTATTATTATGAATCAAATCGAGTGAGTAATTTGACACAAGGAAGAAGACGATCTATCCATAGCCCACCCCATCATCATCAATGCTCCGCAACATATTTTAGGTGGTGTGGCTATATACCACTCTTTTTATGTGTGTCATATTACTCACTCCCGTTTCACAAAACACTTTGGAACGTGTCATCTTTTAGGTAATGTGTCATCTTTCAAAAACACTTCTATCCAACTTAAAATGTCAAAAGCACACCCCCATACCATTTCGTAGTTTATTCAGAGTGGATGTTGTTTTGAGGGCATTTTAGACATTTCAGGCGGAGTAGAAATGTTTTACGGGGTGCGCAAAAAAATTAGGACAGAAGTGTTTTGTGAAACGGAGAGAGTATTACACAAGAGGCTCGCTCGTCCCGAGCAGTTCATTAGAGAGACCGGTGAAGACGACAGAATCAGTCTCAACTGGCTTGCACTTTACCAATGCCGAAGGCACCAAATCCTCCTCCTCCAGCGTCCTCACTCTCTCTCCTCCTCCCCCTTCCGGGAAGCGTGGAATCACCCGCCTCTTAACCAGCACCGGATGCAGAAGCTCAAACTCCAACCTCGGCTCCTTCAGTGCCGAGCTCACAAACTGTTGTTTCAAACAAAACATTCATTACGGTTGATATGAAAAGAAAAGAAGAATGAAAGGACCGACCTCGTAAAGGGATGTGGTTGGCTCCCATGGAAGAAACACCCCTTGAAGCACCACTCCATCTGGGAACTGGAACCTGATGACAGTTCTCGCATGCCTCTTCTTTGCCGCTTTTGCCATCTTCTCCTTGTATGACTTGGGAATCAAAAGTTGGGATTCTTCGATCTTCTTCTTCCTCGTTTCCGACTCTCTTTTCAATTCCTCCGGTGACAGGTTGAAAAAAGAATCCGGCAGGTCGATTTTGGCTGCCACACTTTCAGGCACGGCAAAGAACACCCGAATCTAGCGAATTTTAGAAAGTCAAGAGTTGGTAATGACCACAGTGTTGCATCGGAACTCATGAAAAGTCAAACAGGGAGAAAATTATGGGACGAACAGTATGTAACAATGAGCATGGCTATGACATGTTAGTTTGTGTTGTGCGTGTTTGAGCTATAACCTCACCTAAACTACGGTGAAGTGTCACGTTTAGACATGATGTGTGTTATGACATATGAGCATGGCCGGGAACGTTTTAAATAAAGAAATGTATGTATGTACCTAAAATGGAAGCCTAAATATGAAGAGAGACAATTTCCAAACACACAGGGGGATAAACATACATAATCAGGGGTGAAGAGAAAGAGAAATATAATATCACAATCCCTTCTCTAATTGTTTCTTCACATGGAAAGTGGTTCATATACTTTCATAACAAGAAAAGAGACATTGCTTATACCATGTGTAGTCATGGAGCCCCGAGACTCCGAGAGGGGCGTTATCTGCCATGTGGTGGCCACCTCATCAGGGGCTCCATGACGTTATGATGGTGTAGTGCATAAAGCCCCTTCATTATTACATAGTTTGTTTTTCAATATTTTTTTTAATTATTAGATAGAGAGATTAAATGTGATTGGGTGGGGGAGAAGGGGGGTGGCGCTATGCTGGTAACGCCATTTACATTTTTTTGCTCATAAAGCCTTGGGGGTAGTGTAGGGGGGCTCCATGGTAGGGGCATAAAGCCCGCTACACATGGTCTAATGGATGACCAATTGCCTTATTTACTCATACACCAATCTATGTAGTTTAAGATGGGGTCTGTTTTTGCTTTAGTTTGTAGCATGTCAATGTGTACTTTATATGATTTGGTTCTAGTTACTAGCGTTGGTATGTGTGCATCTTGTATAAGTGCTCTTACTTTGTTCCTGTTAATACGTTCAAGGGCGGGATCTCTTCGAAACAGTCTCTCTACTTCTAAGTATGGGTACCCTAGTTTCTACGGGATTTTACTGGGTTTGTTGTTGTTTACTCGTACACTTACATTAAGTGACATATCAATAAGAGCTTTCTTCTTCAACAAAATATGCAAATCTTTGAAGCAAAAGTACTAACAAACATGTATTAAAAAACATACTATAATACTTTATTACAAGTTACCAACAAATGCAAGATAGAATAGCAGAAGACTATGCTTGGCATCAATATACCTGTCTATCAATCTTTCTTGGTTCAGCAGGTTCATCTGCCTTAGCAAGATCCGAAGATCTAATGTTCTCGTCTTTTTTAGGCTGGGCGGGGTCCAGCAGCGAGAGCGTCTTCTTAAGCAAAACAATCCTTTCTTCTTCGGGTGGAGCATCCATGGCAGCCCACACTTCCCCATCCTCATCTTTCAGTTCAAACCCCACAGACTCCAGTAGCTCCACGCCTCCTGCCACGTCAGCTATGGCCTCCTTTATCTTCGGGTTCCCCATTCGGATCTTCCTGAACTTTGCGTTCTCGGGTTCCTTGACAATGTTCCTCAGCAGCTTCGCCATGACTTCCTGAGACCCATTTTTGCTCCTGGAAATATAAGAAGAAACAAGCATTTCGAGCTCGCTTTTCTCCTCCGAGCCATTATTGGACGAGGAAGAAGCTTTGCTCATTTCTGCGCTCAAACACGTGTCCACATGAGCAGAAACCTCTTCCTCTGAACCATAACCTCTTCCACAAACAGGGCATTCAAACACATTCAGTTCATAGCCATTAGGGTTTCTCTTACCAGAGGTGATCAAAGAGCCGTACGGATCAAACCCATCTCTCTGATCAGCACTAGGAAATTCTGGTCTTTGATGGCCTTTCTGCTCCGGGTTGACCCGAAATTCATGGTTTTGATCGACCTTTTGTTCCCGAGTCTTTGGCTGCTGCGGAACGGGTCTGGGATTCGCGGGTCGGGTCGAGCTTGGAGTCGAAATGGTGGCCGTTCCGGGAGAAGACGACCCCAAAACTCTACCTTGGCCCTTGAATTTTCCAGAAGAAGAAGATGAAGATATCTGATTGTTGACTTTCTTCATGAACCCTTTGAATTTACCCTTCATGTCGTCCATTATCTGGAATTTACAAGCCCGGGTAGAAGATTTTCTTCAAGAAAATGCAGAATCAAATGAAGCTGCTGGATTCAGGATGAAGTTCTGATCTTTGCAGTAGAAATCGTAGAATTTCTGAGATTGCGAATTTGGGTATACGAAAAAAATGGATTGCGGAAAGGAAAAGGAACGTAAAACTGGAGTGAGAAGAATAAAATCTGCGAGGAATTTAAAGTCTGTGCAAGAAAATTTTGGTCTGTCGTTTAAAGAATGGGCCGAACTCGAATTAAAAAAAAACAAAAGCCCATCACAATGATGTTTGGAGGCATGGAGATAAATTATTTATGGGCCATTTGGTGAGAGATAGTATCTCTATCAATGCTTTATCTTTGATTAATTGAATTTTATTTTTTAGATGTGGTTTTGATATATGAAATTTTTATTCATCGTATCATTTATTCATATACAGATGTAGTTATTAATCAATAATAAATAAAGCCCCTCGAATCGACGGTAAAAATTAACTAGTCTGTATAAATTTAGTTCAGATTTTGCAACTTCTCAACCAATGATCTTAGCTTTGAAACATGTGAAATAATAGATCTAGACTCAATCCAATCCCAAAAGTTAACTCAATAGATTCAAACACTGAAATCATTATAAACATCATAATGTTGCATTACTACATATAATATTAATTTTATTTAATTAATAGTCAACGTTTATCAATTTTGATTGCTAACAGTCACAACAGGACAAATATTTTGGGACAAAGGTAGTAACATCTTTTGTAGATTTTTCCCGCTCTGTTGCATGTTATTTTAATTTTTTTTCCGTGAAGTAAAAATTATATTACAAGAAAAAATCATTTTGAACTATATGTACTTTTGTGTATCAATTTTTTTAATGATTTTATATCTCTAAAAATTACCGAAAGTAAGATTATTGTAATGTATGTATGGAAATGCAGTCATACATGTCTTTTAAGACCAATCATGTTTCAAGTACACTTAGAAAATAAAATATTGAAAGAGATCATCCATCCAACATCATTCCCGAAATGGTAAAATCCTCATGGGTAGGAAGTATTTAAGCCTTGTTTGAAAACAACTTTTTTAGATAAAATTTTAATGATTTGGATTTATTCTGAAATTGCTAATGCTAAAAGCTATCGTCAGGCGACATATAATTTTTCTACTTACAACGTTACCCTCTAACGTTAATAAAAAACGAGGCGTTATATGAGATTCTAGTGAGACCAAATTAAATTACTCCGTACATAAAAGACGCCCACTGCAAAAATAAAAAAAGGGTTCATTCCTAAAGTAAAGTAGTGACAATCTTTATTTAGCACCTCAAAATTTTCATTGCCCTTTGATTTTCTTTAGCTTTTATATTCAATGACACGTCCTCAAAATTCAAAAACATATGCTCCTTTTCTAAAGATTAGTTGATGAAAAGCAGACAAAATAATGACAGAAAAAAAACAAAGATGCCAAACAATTTACACACACAAAGTAATTAATGAACAATATGATATGCCCCTTAAGTTTTCTACTTCTAAATCCACAAATTTATTTCTCTTTATTTCCAACCTGCAAAGTTCAAAATAAAGAAGAGACCAAGGTCAATATATTCCAAACTTACCTTTATTTTTAGTGAACATATATGGTCTACTACTATGTAAATAAATCAAAGCTATTCTAATTAAAATATTCTTACTAGCCTCCCTCATACTTTTCTAAATTAAATTAAAGTTATCTTTGACCATACATGATCTTTTTTTTTGAAAATGTTGGAAAATAAAAAATGATGAATAGAATATGTTTAAAAGAAAGAAAGAAAATTATTAATTATTTACGGAACTAATCAACAAGGCTATGATACTATGTCAAGGAACTAATTCAACTAAAAGCTCAAGCTTGTGGTTGTGGTCCATGAAATATTTCTTATATTCTACTCCCTCCGTTTGGAAAAACCCTTCCCGTTTTGATTTGGGGCAAAAATAAGGAAGTGTTAAATTATAGTTGATTTCCAATTTTGTCCCTGATGTGATGGGCAAAAGTAATATGTGATAGATAGATTATTAGAGAAAAAGTATGATATGATAGGTAGGGTATGAGAAAGTAAGGGTAAAAGTGATTTTTTAATAGAAAATGGAAGTGTTTTGTTGGAAGTAGAAAAAATGAAAGAGGAAGTGTTTTTGAGAACTAATGGAGTAATATATATATATATATATATATATATATATATATATATATATGATCCATTATTCTTTGTTATTGTTTAATAAAATTATTTAATTTCTCTTGTCCTATCACATGCATATACGTACCTTTGGGTTGACATAGTTTTCTCAATAAAATTGAGAGGAGAATGAGGAGTACTGCCACGCCAGCGATGATCCCAATCGTGATTGCAAGCCTTCTCTCCATTTCTCCACCCTTTTCATCTACTATGAGCAGAGTAATTAATTAATGTTTACGTGCAAGATTCGTGAATAAAAAGATAAATCTTATTTACACGTGAATGGACATATTAGAATATAATATAAATATATTTTCTATATCTACAACGGTTAGCTTAAACTTTTGATTGGATTGAAAATTTCTAAGTTTGTTGTTGTCAGTGACTTATATATACGAACATATACTAATGTCTCGCTAGAAAAAGTCATAATATAATAATTCTACCTGAAATTTTAAATATTTTTTTAATTAAAGTATGTATATTCCCTCCGTCTCAAATTAGATTACATAATTCGCAGAACGTACAAAACCATGTGCTTTTGAAACTTAATTTATTAAAAAATTGGTATTTAAAAAAATTCTGTTTACATATTTAAAAACTATATCAGAAGTTCTACTCACTCCGTCCAAAAAAGAATCATCTGTTGTTGTTTATGAGAGTTGTCTGAAATTATTTTAAATTTAATTTTTTAAAAATTAATAAGGAATTTAAAAATCAAATTTATAAATTTTAAAACTACATCAAAAGTTTTACAAAACAAAAAGTGATAATATTATATTAATTACTCAAATCGGTAGCAAAAATGGGTAAAGAACGTAATTAAAATTTAACCATGAAAATAGTAAACATGTAACTTAAATATATAATTAGGGCGGAAGGAGTACAAAATAAATAGTGACATATTATATATGAAATGAGCTAGCTAGGGGGGATTTTTTTGGCACAAGAGCTGCTACCTAGTGGGCAATGATTCTACACTTTAGGACTTAGTGGGGTTGCTTTTCAATAAAGAACATCTATCAAAGAGGTAAAGATGAATTGCATGTATATATAACCATAATCATTTAATTGGTCTTGCATAAATGAGTCATCTATTTAAATGAAAGAGAAAAAGTTGTATGTGTCCCTTCAAGCATGTTTCATTTATTCTAGGACAAGCCTATTCCTCCTCACATCTAGCTAGATGATCACACAGAGAAGATAAATTAGATTTTAATCGTAGATTGATGACAGAAAATACAGTTGTCAGAAATCAAGCTCTATATATTCTTTCCGTCCTATAATGATTTTCCCAGAGCACTATTCCAACTTCACGAGAATTTATATTTATTTGTGTTTTTTCATGGCCTATATGATAAAATAAAATATTCTTGTCACCACTTGTTTTGTTGAACTTTTGATGTAGTTTTTAAATATGTATGTTTTATTTTTTATTTCTATACCAATATTTAAATAAAATAAATTGAAAAAACTTGAGATTTTTCTTCGTTTTGCGATCCGGGAAGATCATTATAGGACGGAGGGAGTATATCCATTTAGAGTCCATATTCCATTTATTCAATTCCTTAGCATGGATGAGTATATAATAATCCGACCTCAGATACCACTTGCACCAAAGTTAAAAGCTGCTCATATATTCCGTAATTTTAATGTAAAAGTTTAGTGTACAAAAAATATACTCTCCTAAAAAAAGGCATAATAATGAGCATTAGCATGGCAAACACATATGTGGAATTAGACGAAACAAATTAAATCTGATACTCACTTCTTCTCTATCCCCTTTAAAAAAATTTAAACTTTTCTATCTTTGAACGTACTAATTTTTGGCACTTGATCAAAATCAGAATTATTTTCAAGAACGGGAAAATTATTTTTTATACTGATAATGAATATGTAGCTTACAATAATTCAATCTCATATAAACAAACGCCAATAGTTCACTATATACTCCGTATTTTTAAGCAATTTCTCTTTAAAATTTATTGAAAGCCAAACGAATAAAGTTTTTTACTCTATCCGTTCCACAAAATCCTCCTCTTTTGTTTTTTTTTCAATTCCCTAAAATATTTTCACTTTCTATTAAAAAATCACTTTTACTCATACTTTTTCATACCCTACCTATCACATCATACTTTTTCACTAATGACTAAACTATCACATCTTACTTTTATACATTACATCAAGGGCAAAATTGGAAAGTCAACTAAAATTACAATTTTCTTATTCTGGCCCAAAGTTAAAATAAAAAGTGTTTAAAGGAACGGAGAGAGTATTCTGTATAAGACAATGTGCTTAAAAAAATGTTAAAAAGATGGATTAAAATTAGACAAAAAAAAAAGATGGATGGAATCAATTCATTAAGTACGAAGTGACATAATACTAATGTTCCGTAATATAATCACAGTTATAAAAACCCTAAAATAAACAAAAAGCCACAAACGGTCGACGCCGACGACGACCACCGGGCAAGGCGAGGGAACGGCGGCTTACCGCTTTTTGTCGAAAACCCACGCTCCGAGAACCGCGCGTAGCACTTGGACAAGTACACATATCCCCACGAGGCTGACCCACACGTGCTTCCCAGCCCATCGATCGCCTTCCTTAAACAATCTTGGCATTTTTGTGGGTCCACGTCCTGCGTGCACTGCGCCATACCCTGCACCCGCCCGTACCCTCCCACCCTGAAGTACTGCCCTCCTTCAGTTAGATACGTCAGGACGGCCTCTCGTCCGGTGACCACGTCTCCGGACGAGGCCGTGGGCCCGCACTTTTGTAGGGACACCGCGTCCTCCGCTGCCCCAAGGAACGACACGTTGTCGTATCTGACGAGACACCCCTCGAGCTGCAAAGAGCCCCCGGAGGTGTCTTGGCAGAGTGAGCCGAGCCGGCTCACAGCCGCGGCGACGCAGGTCCTGCAGTCTGGGACGCTGAGGTCGCCGCGGCACTGGTAAAGGCTGTAGACGACGTCCGGCTCGGTTGACCCGGGGAGGGAGGTCTTGAACTTGTTGAAGTTGACCGAGTTGGCGGAGTTGACCAGCGACGTGAGCGCCGAGTTGACGTTCGACTCGTATACCGTCCCCGGGTTGAACCTCGTCCGCGAGCAGCTCGTGTAGATGCTGTCGGTGTGGGCCGCGGCGGCGGCCGGGGGCGGGACAATCATGTGGATTGAGAAGAGAGTTAACAAGAGAAGAAAGAGAACTTCCATCATTTACTCCAACCCTTGTGCGTTGTGAAGAATGGAGTTGTTTGAAATAGGTAAGTGAAGAGAGAGAGAGAGAGTAAGAGAAAGATGTTAAAATAAAGATAAAGCTAAGAGATTCCTAGCTAGCTAAGATATCATACTAAGATGGGGACTTAATTCATTTTTAACAATGTATATTTAAAAAAGTAAAATTTGTACTAAAAGATGTCATTTTCTAACATAGTATCTAGAAATTTTTATTCCCATGTATAGAGAATAATGTCTTGTAGCGATGAACATTAACTTTAAGCAATATCATGTGGCAGTGTACATTTATTCGAACAATGTCCGGTGGATAATGAACAGTAGTACTACATTGAAAAATTAAAACATAAAATACTACATTAGAAAATTCACTATGTTCTAATATAAAGATAAATTCAATTTTAAAAGAAATAATTGACGTGGCCCCACAACATAATATGTAGATCCGCCCATGGATACCACCACATAGGCTCAGGTCTTAGTTGATCATCGGGCCTGATCCACCTGAGTAGTTCATCTGCTATTGGGCTGCTACACCCTAATAAAACCGTGGCCCGTTTCAATTAAACATGTAAAATCATGTAATAGTCCTATCTTACTACATTATTTTTATAGGACAAACATCGGCCCAAAATGGCTCATGTAATAGAAGG